GCCTTCGAAGGTCAGACAGAGATCGACAAGTCCCTAGCCGACTCTGTGATTATTACTGTGACCTTGTCACCAAAAATGTCTCATCTCCGCATCCCTTATCCAAGGTTATCTCTGCCAATCATCTCTCTCCGCTACACAAGGCTTTCTCCATGGCTGTCATGTCTGTTGAGGAACCGAGAACTTACAACGAAGCCATACGTCATGACTGTTGGAAAAGAGCCATGGATGTAGAAATTAAAGCACTTCAAGAGAATGCTACATGGGAATTAACAGAGTTACCACCCGGCAAAACACCCATAGGATGTAAATGGGTATACAAAGTTAAGCTTAAGGCGGATGGTTCCATCGAAAGGTACAAGGCGAGATTAGTAGCCAAGGGCTACACACAACAGCTGGGAATTGATTACATTGAGACGTTTTCCCCAGTCGCCCGCATTACAACCATTCGAACTCTCTTGGCAGTAGCTGCTTCACAAGGCTGGAATATCCACCAATTGGATATCAACAATGCATTCCTTCATGGTGATTTAGAAGAAGAAGTGTATATGATGTTGCCCCCCGGTTTCAAAAGTGAAAAATCTAATCAAGTGTGCAGGCTTCTACGCTCACTTTACGGCCTAAAACAAGCAAGCCGGCAGTGGAATGCCAAGCTGTGTTCTGCTCTCTTACGTATGGGATTCACTCAATCTAAAGCAGACCCTTCTCTGTACACAAGAGGGTGCAACTTTCAAGTATATATGTTTCATTTTTGTCTGTATAGTATAAAATATTCGTATTCTTGTCAATGCCTCGGCTACAACCTTCATGCATGTAGAAATATAGGACAGAACAGACTAAGAAATAATGAATATGAGGTTGCAGGTTGGTAATATAAAATATTGTTACGTTTGTACCACCGTGATTTACATCCTCCCACATACTCTGTCGGGTCGGAGTGTGGGGACTCTTAGGGTTGGAGATTCGGCCTTTGGGGTAAGAATATTGTTTGTACATAGGAGTTGGAAAGTAACACGCGTAGATCGAGCATGACAATGAGGCTTCTTTTTTTTTTTTTTTTTTTTACGAGAAAGTTCGGAGTCACTATTTGATGGTGCACTTTAGGTGAAACTCGCCTTGAAACTTTAGTTGACAAAAAATTATAAAGAAGTAAATCAAAGTTACTCCGTAATTAATAAAACTTTCACGCTTAAGGAATCGAATTTAAAATCTTGTTATCAAACCAACTTAGTTGGGGTCGGGGAATATACGAATATATAGAGGTGGGAAGCTAAGGGTCAAGGGACAATGGCATCTAGCAAATTGATGGGGCAATATATATGTGAATAAATTAAACTAAGGATTCCGCTGAAAATTTATGACAACAAAAGAGTGCGGCTTTAATTATTTCCCACTTTGAAGCACAGTATCACTTTAGCTTTTCATATTATTATTATTATTATTTGGTTATTCCATCCAGGGGGGCTAACATCTGTGCGGCCATTTTTATTTTCATCAATACACCCTTCATTCAACCAAGTGGTTTGTAGTCCACTAGTATCTGATTAGCCCCTTATATGGAATGTTTTAGGTTCGAGCTTTGGTGAAGGTGTAGATAATATATGTAGGTATCCACCTTCCTTTGTAATAAAAATACACCCTTTCGCAACTATATTCAGTATAAAAATAATGTACATTTAATATATTAAATATGTATTTTTTGTTATGATGCATATAACATTGTGTGGACCATAATTTGCCCGATCCTACTGGGTAGGAGGCTTAACTTAGGAACCATATAGGTTGGATTTGGGCTCTGCAAATGGTAATTTGGGCCTAGCATCTGTTTATTGGACTAAACCAAAAAATTCTGTAGCCTAATTGAACAAAGTGGGCTGAACCCATTTATTCCTCACCTCTTCTGCTATATACAGGGAAAAGGACAAACTGAAGAAGCACAAAATATTTATAAAACAAATATTGTAATTAGAACATAGGAGTGGCAACCAGAGGAATGTTTTCATTCATTTCTTATTGGCTTACAATGAACCAACCAAGAATTAAGAGCTGACAAAAAAGTTGGCATTTTTAATAATTTCTTACGTGGCAGCTGAGTTGGCATTTTTAATAATTTTAAAATAATTTTTAATAAAGTTTAATAATAATTTTTTTTAAAAAAAAAATTATTTAAAACAAATTTAATTTTTTAAAATTTACTTATTTAATTTTTTTTTCAATTTTTTTTTTGAAATTTATTATTAAAAGTTATTATAAATTATTTAAAAATTATTAAAAATGCCAACTCAGCCAACACGTAAGCAGGTAACCTACTAAAATTGATAGTAACCCGCTATCCGGTGAAATTGCATACATTTAGAGTGTTCAGTGGCTTAATTGCACGTTTTTGTATGTTCAGTGGTCTAATTGTATCTTTTTTTCGTTCAGTGACCTAATTGCATTTTCAGGTTACGTTCAGTGGCCAATTTGAACCTTATACTAAGGACTAGTTTTTTTACGCGCTTTGCGCGAATGAGATAATGCCCAATGATTATTTTTAAATAAGTATTTTAAAGTATATCAATGCAATATTATATAGGAGATGTTTATGCATAGGTAAATAAATGTTGAATTTGTTTATTTAAATCGATAATTTAAAGTATATAAATTGAAAATAATATATGAGAGATTGATTATAATTGTCACTAAAATAAATGTTTGCAATTTTGTAATAACTCTAGTCTAAATACTTAGTTTTAAAATGATAGTCTAAATAAATACTATTTTTAGTTTAAATTTCTCTAATTCTTCATAATTCTCTTTTGAGTAGCATTGTCATTGTTTTCATCTTCAGTGGGCGAGGCTGACTGCCTACGAGCCCCCGAGGAACTTCCAAGAACGCTAAGTCAACCCAAACAAGTTAATGTGGAAATATGATTGTTGTGCTCTTCCCCTGATCATCCCCTTGCTATGTGTTAATGTGTATCAGTTGTTGTTGATATTGAGTGGTGGCAACTACTGTTGTTGTGCACGTTGTTGATTGGTGATTGTTGATGATCATTGATTGATTATGATTGATTGCCCATGATGAGAAAATATGAGATGTGATTGGTGGAAAAGAAAATGTTGGTGGTTAGCACAACGACTGTCCGGTCATTGTACTGAAGGTACATGCCTAGCGGTTACTATGCTATAGGCACAAACCCACCTTAGACTATCTTGCTAAAGGCATGGGTTAGGTTATAAGTGTTGCGATGCCATGTCAGGGCTATATGCACTAAACATGTTCTTTCTTTTTTATTTTTTTGTTGGTAGTGTGTCATGTGCCATTAGGTTACTGGTGACAGCATAGAGGGATTTATCATGCAATGAGATTATGGTATAGGAAGCTTTAAATTTGCATTGTTGCGTATATAACTGGGATTTTAGTTGTAATATGGACAATGATGTAAGAACAATTTTATCTGATAAAAAAATAATAGTAATATTTGTAAAGTAATGTACAATTGTACCATTATAAAAAAAATACAAAAAAAAAATATTAATACCATAATGACCTAAATCATTCTAATAATGCAAAAGTATAATTGAAATATTAAGTTTGTTCTAAATAATCAAAAGAAGATTAATTAAACGTTTTTTTTTTTAAAAAAAAAAAAAACTTAACCTAAATTTATTATTATTTTTTTTAAATCAAGAAAATCAAATGATTACTAATTAAAAAAACGTTATGTATTTAGTCGGGCAAAGTTTATGTTTAATTTTATATTATATATTTTTTTAATACATTTTAACATATTCATAATATACGTTTAAAAATTATTTCAACTCTAATCGGGATGAGGTTCGAACCTAAGACCTTACTTATATAAATTAATGAGTATGTTAAGAATAATAAATAGTTAACGGAATATTCCGTTAATAAAGTTTATACTAACGGAATTTAGGGTTATTTTAGGGAAGGAAATAATATAATAGAGTGTAAATAAGGAAAATCATTAAAAATTACTAAAATCAAAATAATATTAACTATTCATTTTAAGAAACAATATGACCGACATTTTTTTGTTCCAGTTAAGGGCCTAACATTATTCGTTCTTATTATGACAACAAAAGAGTGCGGCTTTAATTATTTCCCACTTTGAAGCACAGTATCACTTTAGCTTTTCACATTATTATTATTATTATTATTTGGTTATACCATCCAGGGGGGCTAACATCTGTGCGGCCATTTTTATTTTCATCAATACACCCTTCATTCACATGCCAAATAATGTGTGCCACCAAAATATATCGCAACAACTATATTCAGTACAAATTTGAACCTTATACTAAGAATTGTATCTTTTTTTCGTTCAGTGACCTAATTGCATTTTCAGGTTACGTTCAGTGGCCAATTTGAACCTTATACTAAAAATTCCGCTGAAAATTTATAACAACAAAAGAGTGCGGCTTTAATTATTTCCCACTTTGAAGCACAGTATCACTTTAGCTTTCACATTATTATTATTATTATTATTATTATTTGGTTATTCCATCCAGGGGGGCTAACATCTGTGCGGCCATTTTTATTTTCATCAATACACCCTTCATTCAACCAAGTGGTTTGTAGTCCACTAGTATCTGATTAGCCCCTTATATGGAATGTTTTAGGTTCGAGCTTTGGTGAAGGTGTAGATAATATATGTAGGTATCCACCTTCCTTTGTAATAAAAATACACCCTTTCGCAACTATATTCAGTATAAAAATAATGTACATTTAATATATTAAATATGTATTTTTTGTTATGATGCATATAACATTGTGTGGACCATAATTTGCCCGATCCTACTGGGTAGGAGGCTTAACTTAGGAACCATATAGGTTGGATTTGGGCTCTGCAAATGGTAATTTGGGCCTAGCATCTGTTTATTGGACTAAACCAAAAAATTCTGTAGCCTAATTGAACAAAGTGGGCTGAACCCATTTATTCCTCACCTCTTCTGCTATATAAAGGGAAAAGGAGAAATTGAAGAAGCACAAAATATTTATAAAACAAATATTGTAATTAGAACATAGGAGTGGCAACCAGAGGAATGTTTTCATTCATTTCTTATTTGGCTTACAATGAACCAACCAAGAATTAAGAGCTGACAAAAAAGTTGTTTTTTTGGTCTTGTTAACATGTATTACTCAAGTCTCATTTCCCTACAATGGTGAAGAGCTTAACTACTCCAAAAGTTGATACTACATACTCTGAATCTATTGATCACACGGTAAGACCTTGAGGAGCAGGTGTCTTAGGTTTTGGTTTCTCGACGACAATGGCTTGTGTGGTGAGGACCATTCCTGCAACTGAAGCAGAATTCTGCAGAGCACATCTTGTCACCTTGGCTGGATCGATGACTCCAGCTTCCACGAGGTTCTCATAGATGTCGGTCATTGCATTGTATCCGACCTCCCAATCACGGTCTCTCACCTTTTCAACCCCAGCATTTTGGGCTATCAGGGATGCTGGTGCAACTAATGCCTTTAAGCACAAGACAGCACATAGAAAAGAATTCGTTAGGAAAGTTGTTCACTTTCTCTACTCTATACACTTCCAAGAATTGGCTATTAAAAGCAAAGAAAATAGAAGTCTGCCATTCTTTACCTTTTGCACGATATCAGCTCCTAATTTCTCATCTGCGTCTTCAAGTGTGTCCTTGATTGCAGGAACATAAGTCGACAGATGAACGAATGCAGCCCCACCACCAGGTACAATTCCCTCCTCAATGGCAGCAAAAGTTGCATTCTTTGCATCCTCGATGCGCAGTTTGCGGTCCTCAAGTTCAGTCTCTGTTGCAGCTCCAACCTTAATTACAGCAACACCACCTGACAATTTGGCAATTCTCTCGGCAAGTTTCTCAGAATCATAGATTGAATCAGTTTCAAATAACTCCTTTTTAAGCTGAGCAATCCTTGACTGTATCTCATCCTTCGATGCAGCATCAGCAATAATGGTTGTTGAGTCCTTTGTAATTGTCACCTTTCTGGCAATACCTAGTGCTTCAACTTGGGTATTCTCAACAACAAGTCCCAAATCACTAGCCTGGTACTCAGCTCCTGAAATAAACAAACAGAATGAACTTGACAAAGTCAACAAAGAGAACTTCCACAATCAAGTATATAATTTTTTTAAAAACAAGCAATAGGAATGTAATATATATGGGTTATTAATTATTTATTGTCAATTAGCGATGTACAAAATATGAACAAATAAAACATAATTTAAATTCTTGTGTGCCGAAGTGTGCATGTGATAGGAAACTTGAAATCATTTAGATAACTCGAAATTTATCTGCCTCACGCGTATTGAAGTGGGTTCATGAGGGTCCAAAATATATTCAAAGTGAAACTGAAAATTCAGAGTTATCAAAAAATACAAAACAAAATGTGATATGGATTATTAAGGGAAATAATACTCATATTCCCAATTGTTACTTCATCTCACAAAATTTTGATTTTGACATTTTCATTGAAACTAGTAATGGCAATAGGTCGGGAGGGCTACATTTATCACCCGACCCACCATATATTTTCTCCACTCACCCCCAATCCCAACCCGCATTGAATGAACTTTTTCAAAACTCACCCCCACCCCCACGGGTGCAGGTATCAACTACGGGTACCCACCACTTATCTGTCTTATTATTTTTTTTTCAAAAAATAATATTTAAATTACTTACCCATAATAAAATAATAAAATTCATTAGTCATACTAAAATATAAAATAATAGAAATATTTAAATATAATAAATAAATTATTAATTTTATAAAATAAATTTAGTAGTTTAGATATAAAAATAGTAAAAGTTTACCCGAAATTATAAAAACATCTATAAATAACTATATACAAGTACTTATTTTACTTTATATATATATATATATATATATACACACACACACACACACACACATGGTGGGTCAGGTGGAATTTTAGGAGAATTTTATACATAAAATCTGAATCCAACCTGACCCACCTTATTTATGTAACACTTTCAAATACTGTAGATAAGATGTCTACGACAGTGTAATATTTTAGAGTAAAAAGCAGAGAGAAGACAGTAGCAATAAAAACGAATCCTAAAATTCAACGGTGGTAGACCCATCTCATACAGTTGGATTATATACTTAATACCTGATAATGACCGATCAAAAGTTTAGAAATATATTATAAAAAACTTATCTCAATACATATATCAATTCAATATACTTAAAGTCACATAACACAGTTCAAATTGACATGTTTTGGCACTAGCTAGATAGCATTAGGATGTGTTATGATCACAAGCATTAGGATTTGAATGGTTTGCAATATTTGTTTTTGATTTGTTTATTGGGTGAAGAGGGAAATTCACAATTATTATATAATGTTATGCACTGAATAAATTTTATTTTGTAATTCTACCCGGTAAAGGATTATAATAAGATAAATTAGTCTAGGTTACGTTACAATATGTTTCTTTTTCTTTGTTGCTCCCAAAAGGTTGAATCCTCAAATTTTATCGAAATACATAAATTATATATATTTAGCTAACAACCATTTTACCAAACAGGGCCATAGTTTCTGTGTTCAGCTGAGTTACCATAATTTATATCTTCTCATATGCTCTGTCGGGCCGGAGCGTAGGGAGCCATTGGGGTTGAGGATTCAACCTTTTGGGAGCAACAAAGAAAAAGAAACATATTGTAACGTAACCTAGACTAATTTATCTTATTATAATCCTTTACCGGGTAGAATTACAAAATAAAATTTATTCAGTGCATAACATTATATAATAATTGTGAATTTCCCTCTTCACCCAATAAACAAATCAAAAACAAATATTGCAAACCATTCAAATCCTAATGCTTGTGATCATAACACATCCTAATGCTATCTAGCTAGTGCCAAAACATGTCAATTTGAACTGTGTTATGTGACTTTAAGTATATTGAATTGATATATGTATTGAGATAAGTTTTTTATAATATTTTTCTAAACTTTTGATCGGTCATTATCAGGTATTAAGTATATAATCCAACTGTATGAGATGGGTATGCATCATTAGTGCTCGAAAGAGCAAAAGGATAAAACTTTGTTATAATCGCCAATGGGATTGATTTGGATTATATCTATAGTATGGCTTGCATATTTTATCCTCCATAACTAAGATAAAGTTTAATAAATAAATAAATAAATAAATAAATAAATATATATATATATATATATATATATATATATATATATATATATATATACACACACAATTGACACATATAATAAGGGAAAATAACTCCTTTTTTTTTGTTCTTATATTCATACACATTACACAATAGTAATTTCAATTTTTTAATTATTGACAGATCATTAATTCTTCCATTTTTGTTACAAAGTGATAAAAAGTATGTTCCTTCGTATAAATACATAAACGTTTGACTATTAATAAATATATTGAATTATATATTATCAATGAGAATAAGTTTCAATTACAGTCCATCTTAAAAATTAGGTACACATTTTTGTTGTTAGTGTTTGTGGAATGTTGAAAGTTAAAAATTGACATTAATTAAAAAAAAAAAAGTGGAAAATACGTAGAAAATTATAAGAGATGGGATGTGGCCTCTTCATCAGTCAACGATTTTAAATGTTTTTCAAATCCAATTTCGAATTACATTCCAATATTGCGAATAACCTACGACCACATTGTTTGAAAAGTTCGATGAAACCCACACAGTTTAGCTCAATGGTTTAGTGGACAGTATATGGGATAAGAGATCAAGGTTTGAATCTCGACGGCAGCAGTGTGAGAATTATGTCTAAAGTGGACAAATTTTTTGTGATTTACATCATCCAACATGCTCTGTCGAGTCGGAGTGTGGGGCCCCCGGGGTCCCGAAAAGTTCGCACTTCCCTCTGTCTCCTTGACTATCAAACAAGGCCTTTATCTACAATTTTTTTTTTAAACGTTATTTACAATTCTAAATTGGCACTTTTTTTTTAGATGATGACGAGAGAAACCAAAAATATTAACCAATAATGTGTATGAATAAATATTTTTTGGTATAATAAATTACAAATCATATAATAAAAGTAAATTACACTAAAAAAACAAGTAATGTAGCGCGAAGTTTGGTCGAAAAAGGCGTTGAAATATAAATGGACAATTCTTTGTGATTAATTCAACGGGGATATGATATTTGTCAAAAATCAACATAAACTGCACCGAAGGATTAAATGACAGCAGTCATGTTAGATGACTGAATAATTATGTTTCTATAATAGTATAGTCACGTACCTATGTACATTGTACAATAATGTTTCACATTTTCTAAACCGACAAAAAAAAGTACGTAAATATGAATTATTATTTAGCTAAAATCATACATTTTATTTTGTAAAGAAAGACAAATTTCACTTTTAATTATATTATCACATTTAATCTTGATGTTTAATTAACTTACTGTACACTTGTTTAAACTCCTTTCGAATATAATTGAATAACATTTTAAATTAATTAAAATCTTGTGTAATTTTTTTTTTTAGAGAATAAATCTTGTGTAATTTTTAGATATCGAGGTTTGTGAAAAAAAAGTTAATGTTTAATAATTAATTTTTTGTTTGAAAACGTTTAATAATTAATTAATCAAATGCAAAATAAATAAAAATTGTAATAATAAGAGAGTATTCTATACTTTCAACAATTTTATGATATTGTATAAAATGTAACAATACGGTCAACAATGGAAAATTCTAAAGAAGCTGGTGAAGTTTGTATACCCTTTTCTCCCCAAAAACTCAATCGCTTTCTCTCCACTACTCCCACGAAGTTAAGGCCCGACGATTTGGTGCTGCCGGCTGACGCTCTGATGGAAGGTTGAGTTGACGGTGTCATTAGTAGACTTTATCCTTCGTCGACGGTGTCATTAATAGACTTTATCCTCCGGCGGTTGACGCTCTGATGGAGGGTTGAGCCGACGGTGTCATTAGTAGACTTTATCTTCCGGCTGTTTTAGGATTAAGTGTTAGATCTCATATCATCTCCAATTATTTTTCAGAGAACGCTTCAGAGACTCTACAAATCTGACAGGTTTTCTAGCCTCTTTTCCGCTTAAGTTGTTTTATTTTGGTTCTACGTTATCCCTTTGTTCCTTTGACTAGTTTGTTTTCTCTCGTCTCTCTGGTTAGTGTTTCCCTCTCGTCTCTTTGACAAGTTTTCCTCCGTTTCTTTTGCGAGTTCTTCTCATAAGCGTAAAATGATAAAATGGTCTCACTAGGGTCAGATTTGGCTATTTTTTGACCAATGTGAAGAAGCACCAGACGTGGTTTTTTTTTTTTTTTTTTGGGTTTAATGCGCTGATAAACCATAGCGTCAGAAACATCCATAATTTTACGGGGTTTGCTTCTAGTTGGCGACTATTCCTCAGCTTCTGTTATAATCAGTCAATTTTTGAAACTTCAGTTTCTCATTGACAACATTTAATCATTTTTTTAATTTCAAAATAAAGGACTTTAGGAATTAGCTAGAATATTAATTTCATTGAACTTTTAAGCAGAATGTCAAAATTATTTTTTATTAGTCCACACATGGATGGCGATTATTATTATTATTATTATTATTATTATTTTATGAGTATTCGATAACAATTTTATATTAAAAAAAAATTAAAATTATAATCTACAAATATACAAATACAAATCTAATAAGAACCAATAAAGCTAGGCCCTTAATAGGAACAAAAAATGTTGGTGTGTTTGTTAGTTGAAATTAATGGTACATATTATTTTAATTTAAGTATTTTTTATGATTTTTCTTATTTACCCTCCATTATATTTTTTTTTCTTTTAAATAATCATGCATTTTATTAGTATAAACTTTAGTAACAAAATATTACGTTAACTATTTGTTATTCTTAACTTCCTTATTAATTTCTATAAGAAAGGTCTTAGGTTCGAACCTCATCCCAATCAAAGTTGGCATAATTGTTAAACATATACTACGAATATGTTAAAATGTATTTTTAAAATACAATATAAAATTTAACATAAACTTTGGTCAAATTATTATGCCGACTAAATACTTAGCATTCAGGGGCGTTTGATTCAGATTATATAAGATAACCAATGTTATATTTGCTTAGTAATATAAGATTCCCATGTTTGGTTTAGGTTAATGTGAGATAACCTCCCCATTAAGGTTTTAACTATTAGAAGGGAATGTGAGATACCTTCCAATTTCTTAAGCTAATCTCACATTCCCTTGTCTTATTACTAATGTTGGACTTTGTATTTTTTTTATCAATTTATCTTATTGTTGTTGTCTTATTTACATATTTTAGTTTTAAACCAAACACAGGAATCTAACATTCCCAGTAATCTAACATTCACATCAATTTAACATTCCCTAAGATAATTTAACAGCAATTTTCTTGCATTAAAAAAAAAGTTTAGGTTAAGTTTTTTTTTTTTCGTTTAATTAATTTTCTTTTGATTTTTGAGAACAAGACTCAATATTCAGTGACGGAGGCAAGTGTATGCCTTGGGGGCCTTCCCCCACCCCCAATTTTTTAATATTATATATAATATTAATTTCTTTAGAAAATATTATATAGAATATTAAAATTTTATTGTTCTTTCCAAATATTTAGCTCTCATCCCTCTTAAAATTAATCTTATAGCTAAGTTATAAACTTTTTCATATTCTTATCTTCACCAGTTTTCTCCCATTTCAAATTATGTTTTCCCTATATTGTTGACTCACATTCAAATTAAACATCATTTAACTTATCGACTAGTTTCTCTCTAGAACCATACATATATGTGGCATATACACTATAACAAGATAATTTATTATTATTAAAATATATGCATATTTTACAAAGGACCTTGTGATCTATTGGTATCTAGTTGTTTTTTTATGTGGGAGGTCTAAGGTTTGAGCCTCAATGTAGGCGTGGCCGCGTGGGTATCTCTTCCCTTTTGTAATAAACAGGAAAAAATTATGCATATTTTTCAAGTCAAAATTTTTATTTTTTTTTTTTAATTTTTTTTTTTTTTTGGTTTCTAACTACTTGTTTAGATAATTTGTGTTTCTGGTTTCTAACTACTTGTTTGGATAATTTTTGTTTCTTATTCTATTGTTTATTTTAAATAGTTGTTTTGTTTGACTCTAAATAATGGATATCACAATGCTTTTGTTTGGTTAATTATGCATATTTGTGGTTATGTAATAAATTTTGTATTTAATTTAACATGCATAATAATATAAAAATTGTGACGTATATGTATTTGAGAAAACAATGTTATGTTGGGAAAAAGGTAATTTTCAATAAATAATCAATAATCTTTTAAAACATGTGTGAATGTTTTCATTCTTTCGATCATACAAAGCAATGTGCATTGAAAAACATATTACAAAATAATTTAATATCAATTCAATTATAATTGATTTATTCTAAACTTTATTAAATTTGTAATGTAATGATTATTTTTGAAATATATTAACTGGATATCAATTATAATTAATTTTTCATATATTATATTGAATTTATATACGTTGAATTATTAATTTAAATAAACAAATTCAACATTCAATTCTATATTAATGAACATCTCCTATATAATATTGTATTGATATATTTTAGAGTAATTATTTAAAAATAATCATTGGACATTATTCGACAATGTGTGTGAAAAAGTATTTATCGAATAAAAAAGATGATATTTTGTTTTATAAATAAAGGAATAGTTTTATAGGGGTATTCGCAATTGGTATTGTTTTTTTTTTTTTTTTGAATTCCATTGGTTCTATTACATTGTAGTATCTGTTCATATACTTTCTCAACCTATTGAAACACAAAGAACCAATAACGTCTCCATTAAAGCTCAAACTTATAATCTTTCAAATGGAAGTCCAACCCGAATATCATTAGACCACATAGTCCTGATCGCAATTGGTATTGTAGAATTGTAAAAACTTAACAATTTGCTTCCTATACGAATACGAATTCCGACAATTCCGAAAGTCTCAACCGTTCCCACAAGCGAAGGTCAAGGGGGCGTTTACTAACTTGGAAAAATGGAGAATTCTCCAAAAAAATGGAGAATTGGAGAAGTGGAGAAAGGAGAATTGGAGAACTTGTTTACTAAATCTATTCTTCCAATTTCAATCTCATCTCCATTCTTCCATTTCTTATACAATTTTGGAGAAATGGAAAACAACATTCTCTAAATGGAAGGATGGAATAAAACGCGGGTGAACAGTAAAATTAAGTAAGGTCGTTGGTTCGAATCTAGCTTACGACAATTTTTTATTACTCCTTCTAGGGTTAGTCCTTCTCTTCTTTCTTTTCTTCTCTCCCTGGACTGACTGTAGTCTATCGCCTCCCTCCCCTTCCCATCATCTCCTTCGCCTTCTTTCTTTCTTTTCTCCTCGTCTCCAGTCCTTTTTCTTCCCATTAGCCTTCTTTCCTTTTACCAATCGTTCGCGTAGCAGCCTTCCTTCACGTACAGCAAAGAGGAGCGTAGCAGCACTCCGACAAGCCGCACAAGAACTCCGGTGACTCTACCGTCTTTGGTGAACCTTGCATCTCAACAACTCAACACGGACTCTCCAAAATCTTCTGTAGGATCTTGTCCAAGTCCACAAGTAATTATCTAAACCTATTTTTATTTATTTTGATGAATGTTATCTCATATCTAATTTCTCTATTACTTACAGAACCCCATTTTGAGGTTCTGATTTGAGAACCTCAAAATGAGGTTCTGATTTGAGAACCTCAAAATGAGGTTCTGATTATAGAACCTCAAAATGAGGTTCTAATTGTAGAACCTCATTTTGAGGTTCTGATTTTAGAACCTCAAAATGAGGTTCTAATTGTAGAACCTCATTTTGAGGTTCGGTTTTGAGAACCTCAAAATGAGGTTCTGCTTTTAGAACCTCATTTTGAGGTTCTGATTTTAGAACCTCAAAATGAGGTTCTAATTGTAGAACCTCATTTTGAGGTTCCAGCAGAACCTCATTTTGAGGTTCTGTTTTGAGAACCTCAAAATGAGGTTCTGCTTGTAGAACCTCATTTTGAGGTTCTGATTTTAGAACCTCAAAATGAGGTTCTAATTGTAGAACCTCATTTTGAGGTTCCAGCAGAACTGGAACCTCATTTTGAGGTTCTGATTTGAGAACCTCAAAATGAGGTTCTGATTATAGAACCTCAAAATGAGGTTCTAATTGTAGAACCTCATTTTGAGGTTCTGATTTTAGAACCTCAAAATGAGGTTCTAACTGTAGAACCTCATTTTGAGGTTCGGTTTTGAGAACCTCAAAATGAGGTTCTGCTTTTAGAACCTCATTTTGAGGTTCTGATTTTAGAACCTCAAAATGAGGTTCTAATTGTAGAACCTCATTTTGAGGTTCCAGCAGAACCTCATTTTGAGGTTCTGTTTTGAGAACCTCAAAATGAGGTTCTGCTTGTAGAACCTCATTTTGAGGTTCTGATTTTAGAACCTCAAAATGAGGTTCTAATTGTAGAACCTCATTTTGAGGTTCCAGCAGAACTGGAACCTCATTTTGAGGTTCTGATTTTAGAACCTCATTTTGAGGTTCTGATTTTAGAACCTCAAAATGAGGTTCTGATGTTAGCTCAATGGTAATGTTCTGATTTTAAATGAGGTTTTGATTTTAAACAAGGTTTTAATGGAAATTGAATAATTAATGAAAATTGTAGATGAGTAATTTACGGAATACGCATGACGAAGATGCAAAGTGGTTGGATAGTACCTTGGTCGTTTTTCTTGATATTTTATACGATAGGATCAAACGGCACCCTAAGATGCAATGCACAATTTTATACGGATGCATGATGCTATGGACCAATTATTTACCGAATATGAAAGGGAAGACATGGAAATGCCTAGTAGTAGTGGAAGCAATGGTGGAAATGATCCCATAGAATTAGATATGTCTCAACAACATGTTATGCATGAAGTTCGAGAAGACATAGCAAATGCTATATGGGGAGATTGTAATCAATGATGTTCTTGTTTTATAACCAAACTATGTGTAATGATTATAACAATTACAATTTATTTAGTAATATATTTTTATTAATTTTCGTTAGTTTTACACATTTAGTATTAATTTATTGCATTTTTTTATTTTGAAGTTTGAATTTGTAAAATGAAATTTAAAAAATTTGGAGAAATGAAAAACTGGAGAAATGGAAATGGAAAAACAGAGAAATGGAGATGGAAAACTGGAAAAATGGAAAAATGGAAAAATGGAAAAGGAAAAACAGAGAAATGAAGTAAACGCCCCCCAAATCTCTATCTTACGGCCGTCAATCCCGAGAATTGTAGCTTTCTTTTATTTTCACATCCGCCCTTGAATTCTCTTGAAATATCAGAATGACCCCTCCCCTCCACTCCAGCACCCACTATATTATATAAAAACTGTTTCTTTATAGTTTTGTCCAAACGTAAAGAAATCCATTGGATTGGGTAACGTGTTGCTGTTCAAAGATAACAAACAGCGGTTTCAAGAATCAAGAGGGAGATTAGTGAAATCCCAGACGAGGAATCTTGCAGCGTTTTAGCCTCTGAGAGTCTGAGATCTATGTATCCTTGTTCTTGAGAATATAATGTTGTTCGAGATCTGAAACTTGGTTTCTTTTGGGCGTTCTGGGATTGTGTATGTGGAGCTGAAAATGGGGAGCAAATGGAGGAAAGCGAAGCTGGCTTTGGGAATGAATATCTGTCTCTACGTTCCCGAAACGCTAGAGGAAGGTCCGGCGTCGGCTCCCTCCGCCGCCGGCAGAGTTTCCGACGCCCTTCCGCTCTCTCCCGCCTCTGCCCGGAGCTCCGACTCCCAGATCAACATGCCCACCACCCCCACCCCCTCCTCCTCCGGCCTCCGGTTGCCCAAACACAGCTTAAAGTCTTCAAAGGTCAGTAAAAATCGATTCCTATTTTTTTCTTTTGGGTGTTTCTGTTTATATATGTGGTGGAAAAATAGCTAAACATCCATTACTAATTATCCTTTACTAGTATGAATTTTATTGTATAAATCTTGTTTTTTTGTTGTTGTTTGTGTGGAAGAAATCTGGGGTTTCTTGTGGAAAACTAAGGTTATCAAAACTCATAGGACAAATTATGCCATGCTGGTTTAAGGAAACAAAAGATTCAAATTCAAATGAATGATGCTCAACTTAATTACGAAACAATACTGACACCACTGAGCTTATAACAGTTCTAGCTTTGCATAGAATCAGTGGCAAATTACCATGAATTGATGAAAGTAGCTAGCACAGTCATCCTAAGATAACACAAACATAAAACTAAGCATACATACCTAAAAGTCAAAATCTATTTCTTAGTATCTCCAGTTCTACACAATAAACACTGACAGATATGCAAGGTCCGAAGAAGAGCATTAAAGAGACAAATTAAAGCAATGTGCAGTTACCCCTGGGGCCAAGCGTGAGGCCGACGGCATCGGCGAGCTTATCAATGCCGGCCTGAAGGGCAGTCCTGGATTTCTGATCAAACGCTATATCCTTAGCATTCGCCTTCACCACAAACCGGCTCTTGGAGCTCGATGTCTTGCCGTTGTAATTCCTCCCGTGCAACTGGTAAGCCCTCCTATTCCTCAACCCGCCCTGCGTGCATCAACCAGCAAACATATAAGCACAAAATATATGCAATTACTTTTGAAATGAAGAAGAACAGAATCAATAAAAGGGAAAAAATGAGCGAATACCTGTTTGGAAGAAGAAGAAGAGAGGATTGAGGCAGTTGATAAAGCATTTGCAGATGCCATTTCAAAGGAGAACGCTGTTGTGGATAACAGAAATAGTGAGGGGTTTTGCAGAGTGTTATCTAGGGTATGTTGTTCTTATATGTAGTGATAATTTCGAGAAGGTTCTTCTCTGCTCTGAGTGGCTATTTCGGCTCATCTACTCATCTACTACTACATTTATACACTAAACACTACTCTTGCCTTCTTTTGCTGGCGTTTGGTTGAGAGTAAGAAATTAGGATGGAAAGAAATTATAATTTGATGGGAAAAAAATAATGTGTGAATAAAGTAAGAATTGAAATTATATTGTTTGGTATAAATAAATAGAATTATTGGGTAGGAAATGAAAGAAGTGATATAAAGACTAAAATATTCTTGTGTAATAATAATAGTAGTAATAATTATTAATTAAGGGTACATTTATCATTTCATCTCTTTTTTCTTTTCCCACAACCACCGAATTGCAATTCATAGGGGGTGCCCATGAATTCAACAAAAAAAAAGAATTGCAATTCGGTGGAATTGTAATTCCCTCCAACCAAACAGTGTAATTGTGACTTCCACTGAATTGTAATTCAACTACAGCCAAATTATGCCCAACCAAACGGTGGTCAATCAACGTTGAACTCTGACTATACGGAGAATATTTTAGTTGTACTGTGTTAAGCTTCATTGTACGGTATGGTTTCTGTTTTTGCATAGAATTTTTCTACACCCCCCACACGTTTGATGAAATGCTTCTTATAGTACACCCAGCAGAGTATATACTTGAAGTAAGCTGCATCGATGCCTTGGTGGATCTTAATAATGATTTAGCTCCTTGTGAGATTAGTCTTGGCTGACTGCTTTTTAGCCCTTGCCTTGATCTACTTAGTGCATTTCTTTAATTTTTTTTTTTTTTTTTTTTTTTTTTTTTTTTTTTGGGTGAGATTAGTGCATTTATTTAATGAAGCCTGTGATTTTCTCTTTTCAATATCTTTCCGTGGAATAGCTTATGTTGAAGCTGTTATCTTTGCAGGTGTGGAGAACTGGAGATATTACTGTCATGGATGAGCTTGAGAAGCATAGTATCTTGATGGTGTCAGATTTTTTCTATCCCAATTTTGGTGGCGTTGAGAATCACATTTATTATCTATCTCAATGCTTGATGAAGCGGGGCCATAAGGTCAGATTTCATGTTATAATCTACACTGTCTAAATTGTCTAGTGTATATCTTCGTGTGATTTCATTTATGCACTGAGCCTAGGATGAAAAGAAAGAAAATGAGAAATTTCATATTTTCCCCAATTCTTGGCTTGATTGTATTTTAGTAGAAATTCATTAATTTTACACAGTTGCATCAAAATTTAGGCAGACCAGGAAATCTGAATCTCTGAATGTGATCTCCCTTATGTGTTTGGCTAGGGTGAATACACGAGGGGAAGTGAAGGAGCCCAATTGGACTGGTTTTGTTAGAAAGTCTGAAACCAACTTGTCCTAATGAAATTGGTCCTTCTTGGTTTTCCCTCCACAAAATGAACCATTAGGTGGAAAATATAAGTCAGTCTTTATCTGGACTAGTTTGGTTAGGTCCGTAGCCAACTAATCCTAACGAATCTTTCTGTTCTATAATACAATCTTATATGCATCTAAAAGATAAAGAACAAAGAATATCAAGAAAAGTGACATCTTTCAGCATTAGCTCAGAATGAACAAATTGTTGAAACTTGAAAGTGTAGTTTTCATATAGAGGGTTCTTAAAACAAGGAAATTTATTATGCTCATTTGTATGAAGCTAGGTGGTTGTTATGACTCACGCTTATAAAAATCGCTCTGGAGTGAGATATATGACGGGTGGGTTGAAAGTTTACTATGTGCCATGGAAGCCTTTTCTTATGCAGAATACACTACCCACTTTTTATGGTACACTTCCTATCATAAGGACTATTCTAATTCGGGAAAAGATAACTTTGGTTCATGGACATCAAGCCTTCTCTACTCTATGTCATGAAGCTCTGATGCACGCACGTACAATGGGTTACAAAGTTGTATTCACTGATCATTCTCTTTATGGATTTGCTGATGTGGGAAGCATTCACATGAACAAGGTATTGCAATTTACTCTAGCTGATGTAACCCAGGCTATCTGTGTGTCTCACACAAGCAAAGAAAACACAGTCTTAAGATCAGGGCTGCCACCGGAAAAGGTTTATGTCATTCCAAATGCCGTGGACACTGCAATGTTCAAACCTGCTCCAGAAAAGCTTAGTCAGGAGGAAATTGTTATAGTTGTGATAAGTAGATTAGTTTACAGGAAAGGGGCAGATTTACTAGTTGAAGTTATCCCTGAAGTATGCCGCTTGTATCCCAATGTAAGTCTTTCTGAAGTATGACGGCTTTTATATAACTTTGGGTAGGTAGATCTTGACTGTCTTTATGAAAATTTTAGAGCTAAGCAATTCTCTTGGTGAAGATTAGGTTCGCTTCATTGTTGGAGGAGATGGACCTAAACGAGTGCGCCTGGAAGAGATGAGGGAAAAGCACTCTCTCCAAGATCGAGTTGAGATGTTGGGAGCAGTGCCACATGCCAAAGTGCAGTCGGTGTTAATAACTGGCCATATTTTCTTGAACAGGTATATCATGCTCCTTTTGTCGAGTGTGCTTAGTTGTGTCTTGAGACTTGAGGTTACCAAATTATGTGGCATGCAACTTTTATGGTAATATCCTGGTTCATGATGCTCTAAATCTATTTAAGATAGAAAAAACAATCTGGCCCTTTTCCGATAAGCTAGAAGAAATATAAAACAACTCAAAGAATATGCACAGAGGCAAAAGTAATGCATGCCAAGTGTAAATTGTGGAATTATTGTCTTGTTTTACCTAGAGGCATTACCATTTCACATGCTTAAGGGTTTGCCAAAGCATGAAAATTTAATGATCATTTCAACCTAAAAGGCTAATCTAAGGTTTGACTACTGAGAATTCCCACAATAGCAATGTACACTGTCTTTATATACCACAATGAATCTGTGACCTAAAAAATAGCACACTGTCTATAAGGATAAGTTGCTTTCTTTCTCCCCTATCTTGTGCCCCCATTTCTCTTTCGCTTATTCTTGCATTTTCTGCACTAGTTCTTTAACAGAAGCATTTTGCATAGCTATATTAGAAGCAGCAAGTTGTGGGTTGCTGACAGTTAGCACACGTGTTGGAGGAGTTCCAGAGGTATGATCATGATATGATTTCTTGTATTTGTAGCTCTCTGTTTTCTGTTATCAAGAAATCTGAATTTAGTTTTCATGTTTTCTTCTGTTGGTTAATGGTCCATCAGGTTCTTCCAGATGATATGGTTGTTCTTGCAGAGCCAGATCCTAGTGATATGGTACAAGCAATCACAAAGGCAATACACATGCTTCCCCAGATTGATCCACTAGTCATGCACAACCGTGTATGTATGCTACAATACTAATTGTAATGCTTTCTTTGTTGTTATGCTTGGGCAGTTGGTGGCTGTGGGGATCTAATATAGGAATATGGTATTCTTCTTTTCTATCCAGATGAAGAAACTATATAGCTGGCATGATGTTGCTAAGAGGACAGAGATTGTGTATGATCGTGCTCAAAAACACTCAAATCTTCCACTATTGGAGCGATTATCTAGGTATGTAAAATGCATTTTTGAATTTTGTGTTTGCCCATCCGTAGAATGAGGAAGTTGGTGACAGTCCATTTGGATATTCCAGTAGTGTATGTTGCACGATTTATGAAGAAACCTTCCAAGTTGCTATTGCAAGTAGAAAGATATTTGCCTCATATCACCATGCTAATGCAGCCCAAAATTATCATTGTTCTTTGTTTTGACTATCTCCGATTTCTTAGTGAAGAAGTTTGCAGAATGTAGAAGAAATTCATGGAATTTCTGAATAATAATGACTCGGCTTGTATATTACATCTCAATTATCAATCCAGCATTGGTTATCTAACTAGAGAACACTTAGGGTGTGTTTGGTTCATGTGTTTACACACTAGGAATGAGAATCAAAATCATAGTTAGTGTTTGGTTGACAACTTTTTAAAACACAACTATGAGATTTGATTACCCTTCAATTAAAAATCTCATTCCCTAATTAAAAGGGGGTATCATTCCATCTCATTGGTAATCTAATTTTTAAGTTTGGATTAGTATTTTTAGATTTTTTTTTTGATTTTTTTGTTCATACTGATGTTTTGGATGTCATTATATTAGGATCAATTGCCTTATTTTTTGTTTTTGTATTTTTAAAACCCTTATTTCTATTATAGGGTCATACACAACCAAACATCAATATTAGTAATCATTCCAATTCCAGTATTCCACCCTAGTACCAAATATGCAAAATACTTTCACTAAAACTCATTACTATTACCAAGTATTTGATTCCCATTCTGATTCCAATTATCATGTGCGAACCAAACACACCCATAGATTAATAGATTATAAATTCGAAATCAACTCAGTGTAACTGTTTTGTGAGCACATTGCATCAATATTGGAAGAGAAGCTGATGAACATTGATCTTGCTAGGTATCTTACTTGTGGAGCTTGGGCAGGCAAACTGTTTTGCATAGTTATGATAATTGACTTCTTGCTCTGGCGTCTCTTGCGAGTATGGCAGGTAATCATCTCTCTTTCATGACTGGTTCATTCCTTTTCGTTCCCTATTATAATTGTTCTTTATGATTTTCATTAGCCTGACAACGAGATTGAGGTGGTGCCTGACATTTGTTTGATGAATTCTCAACATGACACCAACAAGGATGAAAGCAATACATGATTTTCACTTCATAGGGCATGTTTGTATTACATTCGACAAAATGATTAGCTAACCCTTTTACTTCTACTCTTTGAGAATGTAAATACAACTAGGTAAGCCATTTCTTTGTCTGACCGTATCGATTTTTTATTTATTTTTTATTTATTTATTTATTTATTTTTTTTTTTTTTGCGCTAGAGGGACCAATAGGTCCCAAGGATTAGGAAATGCTTTTGCTAGCAACGCCTTTGGCGTCTCTATCCACAATGTCTCTTGCACCATTCGGAGGGTCCTCTAAGATTAAGGTCTCCTAGTCCCCACCTTGCCCCAAGTTGGCGAGGTAGTCGGCACACTGGTTACCTTCTCGAAAGATATGTTGGATCACTTGGATGTCACCGTCCTGGATTTGTCTCATGATAGTCTTGCAATCAATAATTAAGGTTTCAACCTCCGGTCTCGAATCTCCCTTTCCCTTCACCGCATGGACCATTGCTTCTGAATCCGTCTATACAATGATCTTATTCATCCCCCTGTCTTTGACGAGGCTAAGACCTTCTTTCAGATCCCACAACTCTGCAAAGAAGCTACTCGTGATCCCAATTTTGGTGGTGAACCCCACAATCCAAACACCATTGTGATCTCGAATGGTTCCATCTGCACTAGCCATGCCTGACTTGGCCTTTCTAGCACCATCAGTGTTGAGCTTGACAAAGCCATGTGCCAGCGGTGTTTAGTTAACTTAGATTTGTGTACTAGTCATACCGTCGTACCACTTAATGAGAAACTGTCAAGCCCTTTCCTCATGGACCTCCTAACCACCTCACTAGCTGGTACTTGAGTGTTGTTAAAGAGCCAGTTGTTTCGAGCCTTCTAGATATTCCAAAGTAAGCAAGGAAGCATCCCATTCTATCTGCCATTCGACCTTCTATCATTTGTAAAATTGTTATTATCTTTGATCCAGTCCATTAAGGGCATGTCATTGTCTATGCTAAAACCAACAAGCCCCGTGCAAAGATTCCAATAGCTCATAGCGAACTCACAACGCCTGAAGAGATGATCAAGGGACTCCTCGCCGTCACCGCACCAAGGGCAGCTACTGTCTTCCGTCAAGCTGCGCCTCCGCCTTTCACCATTGACTAGCAAACCATTCTTCATTATTTTCCAAAGGAAGAGCTTGACCCTCTCAACGCACCAAATTCTCCATACCCATCCTTGGTCTTCATCCGCATCTGGCTGCCCTGCAATAAGGTGCGTTGAGAGGCCTTTCACCATTGACTAGCAAACCATTCTTCATTATTTTCCAAAGGAAGAGCTTGACCCTCTCAACGCACCAAATTCTCCATACCCATCCTTGGTCTTCATCCGCATCTGGCTGCCCTGCAATAAGGTGCGTTGAGAGGGTCAAGCTCTTCCTGGGCAAACGTTGAAGGAGAACGCTTAGGCTGATTTTTTTTTCCCAAGAATTTCGCGATCATCGCCATCTTTCAATGTTGGCACAGTTCCTTTCGTAATTCCTTAGGTAGATTACTGAGGGGATGCCATCAGAATGATCTGTACCCTCCATATCATTATCAGATTCCACATCAATGTCGTCGAAGGCCTAATCATTTTTTTCCCGTTTCGTTCAGACTCCTACCTGCGAACTAAGATGCAGCAGCAAGCATATCGGCAAATGACCTCTTGGTAATTTTGTATTTCTTGTGTTGTCGTTGAGATGAGTCTCCCTCCACCATCATTGGCATTGAAGGATCTGGAGGCCCCAGTGAGGCTTGCATGCCCCACGTCCAAGCGTTGCACCAACGGTTAGGGCGGCGCGGGAAAGACTACCTAAAATAAACCAAATGCCTTTACCGTATTGAATTTCTACTCCTATTTGTGTTGACTTGTCCAAGCTCAATTTGGATATTGTGCTAGTAATTGATTTTTATTTTTATTTTCGAAGAAATTTGTTAATGATTATCATAGATGGTTTTGGAAAAATGATAACCAGTGTCCAACTAGAACTACTTTAGGATGCCACTTGGGGTATATTTAAAAGATGTTATTTTATGGTATTGTGATTATGCCACTTGCATGTTCTTCATTATTACGGAGTATTTATTATTTCCAATCTAGTCCCCAGCACTGAAATAATTCCACGCCAAACCAATCAATTTGTCGGATTCAAAGTCTACAAAAAGTGAGTTAAAATTAGAGAAAAAGGGGCAAAAGAGCAAGGAATTGTACAAGAGATGTCGACAAATAACAAAGCCAAGGAATTCAAACCAAGTCAAGTTGCTAAACAGATGTTTTGAAATTTTGTGTGTGGAAAGAAAAATGAGTAACGTGGGGTTTGATAAGGGAGGTACACTTATATGATAGAAGTGGGATGTCATTAAATGCTCATAACCATTATACCGTTGGCCCTATAGTGGAAGCCATGTGTGGAGACTTCATACGCATCGAGAAATCAAGAATGGTAGCATAAATAACACTTTTTAGAGCATCTTCAACATATATGATTTTTGAAGAGTTTTTGCATGTACAAATAGGAAAGAGAAGATGAGAGAGGAGAGAAAAAAGAAAGAAAGAAAGAAAGAGCTATTACGCGTCTAGGGGCATGCAAGGTGTGTTGGACGCACAAACATGCGCTCTCTCTCCCCATGCAGGTCCCACTTGATCAGTCTAAAAATCTCTATTCCTACAAAGACCCAACTCATTCTCTTTCCTTCACATATATATAACAACCCGTTTGGTTGGATGTAATTTCGTTGTAGTTGCATTGCAATTCGTTTCTTTCCTCAATTACGTTGTTTGGTTGGAGGGAATTGCAATTCCCTCCATTCACCGAATTGCAATTCATGACACCCCCCCTCTCCTTATGAATTGTAATTCAGGGGTGGAATGGGAGAATATATTGTTGTGAAGACAATTTTACCCCTTCGTTATTCTCATCTACTCCCTCATTTACTACTACATAAGGGCATTTCAGTCATTGTATCATTTATTTCCTTTCAATTCCCTGTAATCCTATTCATGCAGACCAAACACTATAATTTAAATTCCTACTTTATTCTCGCCTTATTCCTTTCTCACCGAATTACAATTCATTTCTCTCCTAATTCATTCTTTCCTACCAAACGCCCTTGTTCGAGTTGACTAAACCTATCAAACATATATATTTTTAAAAATTATCGTATCCATAAGAAATATATAGTAGCATTTATGGGGGTGTTGTCCTGTATCCCCAAGTCAAATAGGCATTTGGTGAGTGGTCAATTGTCAGCGCACACCCTTTAATCCTTTAGTTTATAACGTCACTCAATAAGCATTTGGGTATTGGGTTCCTACCTGCTCGGCTACAAATTTTAGAGGCCATGCCTCAAAGTAGTATGCATTTTCATTGAATTTCCTTGGTCAAATCTTGCACATAAAAGTAATGTTTTTAATTCCCATCCCAAGTGGACATAATGCATAACGTCCCAAGGTATTAATTTTCAATTTCCTAAAAAACAAAAATTCTTAGATTCTGCGATAAAATAATTCTGTAATAATAATAATAATAATAATAATATATGGTAATAAAAAGGGCAACAAAATGGCACAACACTACGCAACAAATGTGAACGACAACGGAATTGTCAAAATTTTAGACCCAGGTCACAACTCCTGTCTTTCTCATCAACAACAATGACAAAAACTCAATTATTTCCAGAATCCGCAATATATTATTATCATCTACTTTTCATTGGTTGTGAGAAAATGAAAAAGATTTGGTATTTTATTTGTTGAGTGATGAGGAAAATTATGTGTATTGAATAATCTCACCTTGTAAGTTGTAATTTTAGGCTTCCTAGCAGGGACGGAGTCAGGAATTTTGTTGAAGGGACGGAGAAGTAGGGACAGATCGATCAATTTTTTCGAGTGTAAACGAAACATTAAAACAAAAGAGATAATTAAAAAAAAAATTACCCAAGAAATTGAAGTCAAGAGAAACTGTAAAATTGTGTTGAAGCTATTAACCAAGGATTCAAACTCTGACCTTCACTATATCTAAATATATGCTCTACCAACCAATCTATCTCACTTCTTCTGGTTAATATTTATCTGTTTCTTTATACTAATACTAAAACTTGTACTATATATACATATATACATACAACTATTATATATGGGGTGGGGTTGAGGTGAGGGGGGCAGCTGCCCCCCCTCCCTCCCTCTTTGGCTCCGTCCATGCTTCCTAGGTGACAAAGGATTATAATGTAAATCATCATAAATTGTTATTAATAGGTTAAAAGTAGAACTTATAACCTTATAGTTACTTGGTTAACCGTCTAACCAACTTGGTATGAGTTGTTCTTAAATTTTGGGTGACTTATTAGCATTTTTCGATACTTTTTTTTAGTAATAATCTGACTATATTATAATGTAGTATCTGTTCATACATATTTTTCTTATTTATAGTGTCATAGTCATGCCGCTCCAAATAAGTTCTTTGGTATACTCATTTATTCCGTTGTAACTAAAAAGAAAACGCGATATCATCCCGTTCCTTTGACGTCGACAAAATTTGGTGCCCAGCTTTTACCCTTCAATCAATAACATATTCACGTCTCCATGACTCGATCAATCTCATATTTTCAAGGTTCTCCACAATTTCTTCTTTATGTGTAGAACTAAAATGGCCGTCGACGCTTCATCGCCGGCACGCAGCCCAGCAAGGCTATCCTCTTGGACTTCTGCAGGTTTCTCCTCCGGGAATAGGAACGCGCATTCCAGATCATCAGATCAGCCAGCCAGCACTAGCACCTCCGCGCCGTATAATTCCAATTCCAGTTCTACCTTCTCTTCCGGCTTCCGAATTGATAGCTCTGTCGCTACCGCGTCCGTTTCCAGCTCCTTGTCTAGCCTCCGTCAATCGCTACCGGAAAATCCTCAGATTTATGATTTTTCTGAAATTCGAGCTGCTACCAACAATTTCCTCTCCAAGCGGTACTCCTCCACCTCCTCCTCGCAATCGTGGCGGTGCACGTTGTACGGCAAGGAAGTCATCATATTCCAGCGGATGATCCCGAGATCGATGGAGAAATCGGGACTGAGAGCCAACTTATCGGTTATTTGTAGGAGCCATAACCGGAGTATTATCAAACTCCTCGGCGCGTCGATCTCCGGCGATCAAATTTACCTAGTTTACGAATTTGTTCCTGGCTCAAACCTCGCTCTGTGTCTTCGAAACCCTAGAAATCCTAGCTACACGGTGCTCTCGACTTGGATGTCTAGAATGCAGATCGCTACCGATGTTGCTCAGGGTTTAGATTACATACACAATATGACGGGATTGGGGTTGAACTTGGTTCACAAGCACGTGAAGAGCAGCGGCATTGTCATCATAGAGCCGTCGCTCAACGCAAGGATTTGTCATTTCGGAGCGGCGGAGCTCTGCGGTGAGACAGAGATCTCGCCCATCGGCAACGGTGAGATCACGGAGGAGCCGCCATCGCCGGGATTGAGGAGATCTAGGACACGGAACCAGCAATTCGAAGGCGTGCACGGGTACATGTCTCCGGAATTTCAACTCACTGGTCTTGCGACGCAGAAATCCGATTTATGCATTCGGAGTTGTGCTTCTGGAACTTTTCTCCGGCGAGGAGCCGGTGAAGTACAAATTTGATAAATCGAGTGGAGAATACGTGCGAATTTCAGTTGAGGAGACAGCCAGAGATGCGATTGCTGGCGGCGGCGAAGCGGCGGAGAGGGGACTGAGACAGTGGGTGGACCGGAGGCTGAATGACTCGTTTCCGGTGAGTGTGGCTGAGAAGGTGATCCAACTAGCTTTAGATTGCGTCGACGTGGAGCCAGATAAGCGGCCCGATATGCGCCGCGTGTCCGGTAAAATATCGAAACTGTTTCTAGAGTCCGAAATGTGGTCAAAGCGGGTTAAAGTCCCGACCGAAATATCAGTATCATTAGCACCTCGTTGATGTGTAAATACTGAAAATTATATTTATATCCTTTTTAAATTGCACACTTCCATTTTTATTATATTATTTTAAATATACATTATTCTTTCTCCCTTTTTTTTTTTCCTTCGATACTTTGGTGTTTTGAAATTAACCTTTGAAAAAAACAAAAATCACTTACTACTAGTAGTTATTACGGAGTATAACTTTCTACTAATAAACTACTGAATTTTATTGTTTTATTATGTATAATTTATACATAATAAAACAATAAAATTCACTACTTATATTAAAACATAAAATAATAGAAATATTTAAATACAATAACTAAAT